TAGCTCAAGTGGTAGAGTGCTCGCCTTGAGCTGAAGAGCTGAGGGACAGCACCCAGGCCCAGAGTTCAAGCCCCATGACCGACAAAAAAAAAAAAAGATTCAAGTTGGTAAGCTAGATGTGGTATCCCATGCCTGTAATCCCAGCAGTGCAGAGACAGGAAGATTGTGAGTTTAAGGTCACAACTTAGGCTAAATAATAAGACAGTGTCTCAGAAAACAAGGGGTAGGGATACAGCATGTTTAAGGTCCTATGTTTGATCACTAGTGCCCATAAACACAAAAAACATGGATGTGTAGGTAGGTAATGACCGTTTCTTAGAGCTATTATACAAATCACTATAGACTGATTGACTTTAAAACAATAGAAACTAGCCAGATGTAATAGTACACATCAGTAAACTCAGTACTCTGAGGCAAGGAGGAGCTAAATCAAGAGGATCACAAGCTCAGGTCTAGCCTGGGCTGTGTCGCAAGTTTCAAGCAGCCTTGGCAAAACAACAAAAAACTCAGGACTGGATCTATAGTTTCAATGTTTAGCAAGTGCAAGGCCCTAGGTTTAATCAACACCTCTGAAAGGAAGGAGGAAGAAAAGTGAGACTATATGACTGAAATCTAGTACATTCTGGATTGTGATCATTTCTAGTTTGCTTCGCTTTTGTTAAACTCATGGTCTGTGTCTTATTCTTCATTTGACTTACTCTTTAGTGTCTTTTTACAAGGATAATATAGTTTGGGGGTCTCACCCTAAATCTATATGACTTTTATCTTTTATCTTGAGTACATCTACAAAGATGCTGTTTCTAAATAAGTCAAATTCACAGGTTACTAGAGGTAGGACTCAGCATGTCTTCTCAGTGGACACAATTCAATTGCAATGTGGTATTTGCAGTAAATAAGCTAGACATTAGGTTTTCTGTCCTCAAGAAGCTCTAATAGGCTACTCTGGAGGCTGAGATCTAGTATGAAGCCAGCACACAGGTTCTAAGAGACTCTTATCTCCAGTTAAACTACCAAACAAACCAGAAGTGAAGGTGTGGTTCCAGTGATAAAATAGCACCCCAGCCCTGAATTCAAGTCCCAGACACATAGTCAAAAAACTAATAGTTAAATTTTCACAATAGCTTTTATCTCTGGGAGTCATTTTTTCATTTTTTAAGGTATAGTAAAGCAGTAAGAAGGAAGTTTGTGTAGAAACATGAACTTGAGTTATGGCCAAGCAGATTCGTGTAAGAGGTTTCTGAGTGGTTCTTGATAATCTACGTTTTTTTCTTCAGATTCAAGTCCAGCATCCAGCAGCCAAATCCATGATTGAAATTAGCCGGACTCAGGATGAAGAAGTAGGAGATGGGACCACCTCAGTAATTATTCTTGGTAAGAGAATAGAAAGCTAAAAAGGGAAATTACAATGTCAGTTTTGTGTTTGTTAGGTTTTGGGTTTGTTTTATTCAGGTCCTGGCATTTGAGCTGTGTTTGGGCATTTTCCCTGATCTCTTCTGGCTCAAGGCTAGTGCTCTACTCCTGAGTCACAGTCCACCTCCAGCTTTTTTTGGTTGGTTAATTGAAGAGTCTTATGATCTTCAGATCTCAGCCTCCTAACTATATTACAGGCTTGAGCCATACCCTCCTGGTGTCTGAAACTCTTATCTCCAATTAACCAAAAAAAAGCTGGATCTGAAAAGCTTGGTACTGCAAAAAAAAGGGGGGGGGAATAGCATCTAAGCAGGTAATATAAGCAATTTGCAAAATATTTTTTGAGAAAAATACATGATATCTTAAATTTTTTAGGGATTAAATTAAAATTCTTTATGCTGTTCGCATATAGTCACAGTGTATTTCAAAATTACTCCCCATCCTTTTAAAAAACACAAACTTTTTGCCAGTACTAGGGTTGGAACTATGTGTCAGCCTTGCTCAGCTGCCTTTTCTTTTTTTTTTTTTTTGGTCGGTTGTGGCTTGACCTCTGGACCTGGGTTCTGTCCCTCAGCTCTTCAGCTCAAGGCTATCCCTGTACCACTTGAGCCACAGTGCCACTTCCGGCTTTTTCTGCTTATGGGGTGCATCCCTTAGACTCATTTTCTGTGTTGATTATATGTAATATGTAATTTTGTGTACAGGTGTTCATGCACATGAACATGTCCATAGTAGGTCTGCCTTCCACTTGTGAGTGAAAATATAATCTGTTTCTATTGGTTTCTTTCTTGACTTCAGCTTTTTGCTGGTTAAGTGGAGAGATAGTCTCTTCTTGATTTGTCTGTCATAGCTGGCTCGGAACTGGGATCCTGAGATCTTAACCTCCTGAGTACCTAGGCATAAGTCAGTCATTCTTTTGCTTTATTTATTTTTATTTATTTTTATTTTTTTGTCAGTCGTGAGGCTTGAACTCTGGGCCTGGGCACTGTCCCTCAGCTCTTCAGCTCAAGGCTAGCACTCTACCACTTGAGCCACAGCGCCACTTCTGGCTTTTTTCT